ATAACAACACATTAAAGCTGCAGAGGATGTTATAATAGAGTTGAAGTGCTAAAACTATATGCACACATTTTTCCACATGGTACGTGGAGAGAAAGGTCAAATGAGTCATCTTTATTCACCATGTTCTTGACAAGTAGTTGACTACAAGTACAGTTCATACCACAGAGAATCTACGGTAAGCTGTGGCTATGGTTTACTGTTGAGAAAACTAACAGCAAGATGCCAAGAGTATGCAAGTGTAATTGAAGCGTCAGCCACTTACATAAATATGAGAATAAATATCAGGTGATTGTGCTGTAATGGAACTTGCTAGTATCCTAATAAGTTACTGGTGCATAAATGAGGGAACAAAAATAATAGCCAATAATTATATTACTGTATGGTTATCTGCTTTAAAAACGTAATTAGAAAATCCTTAATAAATTCAATTTTACTTCTTTTTGAGCGTCTTTCTTGCTGAATCCATAACACTTTGTGCTTTTCCCGATGTGCATTTCTGTTCTTGTTTTCATACTTCCATCTGAACTCTCTCGTCTTTTTTACACTTTCACTGCCCTTTTTCTTACCCTAGATGCAGTATCTTTCTGTTCCTCCAGCCTCCAATGTCTTCTCATGTCATCTTTCCTCTTCTTCCCCTTCCTTTCAGACCATTTTCCCCCATCTTTTTATCCATCTTCTGACCTCCCCTTTTGTCTGTACTTTTTGCCTTATTCCCCATGCTCAGTTTTTCAACCCTTGCCTCCTCCTGATAACCCCTAGCCATCTCCGTCCCCGTCCTTGTCTTCCATGTCGTTCATGGATTATTAATCATCCTCCTGAGTTGGAATGCTGCTGCGACACTCTCAAGAACAGCTGCAGAAGCTATTGACTTTAATTTTGGTTCAAAGATACCACAAGGGATTTTTCAGTGGCTGTTGAACTTGTCCTCTCTGTTGAGGTTAGTGTATAGATTATTCACAAACTTAGTATGGATAGATCAGTTGCAAGAGAAGCAGAGAAGTGACAATATGCTTAAGTTAATGGGGTATGCAAAAAGCAACTGGCTGAGGAAATTAGATATTAGGGACCAAAGAGCATGCCTTTGTAATGAGTTATGACTGCTGGCTATGGGTGATCGGAAATTCTATTTATTTGTGAACATATTATAGTTCAATTACGGCAAAGAGATTTTATTTTGGAATTCTTTTTTTTTTTTTTTTTGCTGAGCAACGAAATTACATTAAAGAGACATCTTTTGATTGTATAAAAATGGCTGTAGAATTTGAAGGATTTATTTAAGTTTGTTTCTTGCTCACACTGGAACAAGAGATTTACAGTTATGTTGAAAACAAGGTTTTCAGTAGATTATGCAGTCTTGTGTAATACACCCTTACTGCTTCCATAGAAATCAAGAGAGTAAGTGATAGTCGAGAGCATTATCATTTTCAACGAGTAACATACCAACGATTTGTCATGCCCCTAGGCATCTCATAGTTAAGCAAAAGGTACCCTTCCACATCCTTATTAAGTGCTCTGGGTTCTCCATTGACTCCAATATAAACAGACACTTAGAGCAGATGCTCCAGCCGTCTATTCCAACACAAACACATGAACGTATCACTGATAATTCAAAAATAAAATAGCTTCATGTTGTCGCCATCACATAGTGTTTTCAAGAGTGATTTGGGATCTGAAAGTGAACAAATTAATAATCATAATTGCAAGTGTGATGACCTTTTAAAGCACAAGTTTTGGCATTAGCTCATCTGGAACATGTGGGTGTTAACTCAACACACCAAATTTACCTCAAGGTCAGACCATGCAGTGACCAGAGAAACTGCAAACAATATATAATTAAATTATTAAAACAAAATAAAACATAATAAAACGAGCACAAAAGCTCAGACAAGAGATTTTAGGTAGTATTTTGTGATGGTCTATATGGTAAACTGAACAAGTACAGCTTGTTTGGAAGGGTCCTGAGGAGAAAACGTCTTTCTCAATCAAAAGAACATTGCAGTACAGCGTAGCTTTGCAAACCTTTTCTTCACTTGTCTGGGGCCAGGTCACAGGGGCAGCAGCCTCAGCAACTACGCCCAGATGTCCCTCTTTCCAGGTTATCTAAGGGAACACCGAGGCATTCCCAGTTGAGAGATATGAGCTCTCGTGTCCTGAACTCAGAGTGACGTCAGGAAGACGTCCAGGAGGCATCCTAGTCAGATGCCCAAACCATCTCAGCTGGCTCCTTTTGATGTGGAAGAGTAGCAGCTCTATTCTGAATACTCTCTCGGATGCCTGAACTCCCCACCATATCCCTAAGGGAGAAGAGATGAGATTCTGATATCAACAAGGCAGAAGCTTTCCGCCACTTGGCTACACCTAAACATTCTATCCATAAATTATACACAGGATTGGTGACAAAGAGCAATCCTGGTGGAGTCCAGCACACCAACTTGAAAGAAGTCTTTCCTGTACATAGACTGGCATAGACTTGAAGAGGCTGAATAGTGTCATTCCCTGTAGTTGGAGCCCACCTTCCTCAGTCTGCTGATCCAGAGGCACCACCCTAGATCTCCACGCAACACAGCCCTTAAGAACCGGGTAAATCTCATCCACTCCAGGGGCTACGGCACCAAGGAGTTGTTTAACTACCTCAGTGATCTCGCACCAGTGATGGACAAGTCATCCCCAGACAGTGCTTCCTCTAAGAGAAACCTCTGTCTTCATGAGATTAAGGTCTTCAAAGTATTCATTTCACCGTGTGACTATGTCCTCAGATATTAAAATCAGCAGTACCCCACTATACACCTTTTTGATAAAGCAAGACTTTCCCCTCCTGAGGCACGTGATGGTTTGCCAGAATCGCTTTGAGACAGTCTGAAAGTCCATAGCCTCACCAAAGTCATCCCACAACTGAGGTTCAATCATTGACCTATTACATAGGGCGGCGGTCCCCAACCTTTTTTGCGCCACCGACCGGTTTATGTCAAACAATACTTTCACGGACCGGCCTTTAAGGTGTCGTGGATAAATACAACAAAATAAAATCAGTACCGGTACCAAAAAAAGGAAGATTTATTCATAACACATGGAAAAAGACCCAGGGAAACCGAGTTAACAATAAAAACGATTAAAAAAATAACGATAAAAACCAACAGAAAACCCTGAAAACCATAAATTTTACACCCGAGCCTCAACTCTTACGGCCCAGTACCAAACGACTCATGGACCACTGTAAAATCTAATATTGTGTTTAATTAAAAATATTAAGTAGGCTGAACTCAATTTTTGTCAAGATGTTATTAGAACTCAATTTAAGTAAGTTACCAGTAGTTTTTATGCAAAAACGCAGTGCCAAAGGATGAAAGATGTGTTTTGAAAATGCCATGTCACTACCGTCCTCCTCCCTAGCACGGATCAGTCCGCATGTTCATTAGTGATGTGCGATACCGCTGATTTCCTTTCTGATCCGATACCAAGTAAAATCCAGGGTGGTATTGACGATGCTGATCCGATACCGATACTCTGTACAAAAACTTAATGTTTAATTGTATTTCATAATACAATATAGAATTGCATTATGTAATTGTAATAATAATATAATAATATAGTTTCATAATGAGTACAGGACATCAGAGTACTTGTTCTTATTGCTTAATGATGCAGAATAATCATATAGAAATAAAAAACCTGAAGTTGTGCGCTATTTGAACATGTTGCCTTCCCGCAGCACTAAAGGACTCCGCGAGAGACGTCTGTCTCGCCCTAGCAGCACCTGTCCCTCTCCTCCTCTTCAGTTCGCCTTGACATAAGCTCATATTCTGTGATATGATTTACTCTGAGGTGTTTGACGGGGTTAGTGGTGTTGCCACAACACCTCACTGTCTTGCCACATGTATCGCAAACCGTGTCTTGGCTGTTTGTGGAGGTAAAATACATCCACACATAACTCCGTTTAGGCTCAGGCATTGTTGTGAGTGCACACGCCAGGTGCAGTGTTGCCAACTTAGTGACTTTGTCACTATATTTAGCGAGTTTTCAGAGCCCCTTAGCAAGTTTTTTTCTAAATAGCGACTAGCGACAAAACTTTTTGACGTGAAAGCGCGTATCGCTCTTCTCAACAAGCAGCGGTTGCTGCTCTGGGCACCTCGCCCGTGCCAAAGCACTCACGGGCAGAGGATAGTCCTCCCCCAGCTGCCATCAGGGCAGGAGATGTTCCCACCTATGCATCCAAACTGCAAATGAATCGCGTATGAGTGAAGCCTCTGCTCCCGCACTGACTGTAACGCAATCAGTTCTTCTTTTACTGTTATATTGTTTTGTGGATCACAAGGTTTAAAACTACTTAAACACACACACATACACAAAGTAACTCCACCAGAGTGCCTATTTCGGGTCACTTTTGCCGGTCCAAGAGCAGATAAAGGAGTAAGGTTGGAATTGTGACATAAAAAAAACCCCAATAATTGCTAAAAGAAATTTAATTTGTAGTTCTAAATAAATTCTAAATGCATTTAGGATGTTTTTTTACTCACTTTATGTCTCTTCTTTTTTTCTCTCCTACAACATGGGTTACAATGACATTAGCATGACCAATTATGCAAATTAGGCGATGACGTCGTTTAGCGACTTCTAGGGACTTTTAGGATAGCCAATAGCGATTTTCCTTGCTGAGGAGTTGGCAACACTGGCCAGGGGCTGTGACACATTTATACAGCCGTATTTTGCATATGACTATGAAAGGCGTAAGAGGAAGTAGTTTCTTCCAATTTAGACGATCCAAATGATATAGTTTCTTTCCACTGTGTTCCTGTTAATGAAAAAAAATACAAATTTACCCCAAAGTACTAAAATATCAATATTTTAATATGAGAATCGATTCTAGAAGATAAATTACTGGTATCAGAAGAATCGATATTTCAATATTGATCCGCACACCACTAATGTTCATCGTGTCAGCATTTTCTTCTGGAATATGTTGAGCAAACCTGGAGAAGCTTCGGCTCAAGATATTATTGTTGTCATTGCTGTGGATCTTTACCTGATACACTGACTTGGTGAGTAAATGTTTACTCTTATTCAAACTGATTTTGTGGCTTCTCTTAGTTTAGCACCAGGTTTATGAACTTGCTAGCTAGTTAGTGTTAGCCTAGCGTTGCTGCTGCCGCTGGGCTCATGTTACTTAAAAACTAACCCCACAGCTTTACAAAACTTATATAAGAAATATGTCTGTGGAATTTTCTGTTGCTTGTTTGAAATAGAAAAGTGAGATAAGAGCCCAGACAAAATTTTTCGGGAAGTGCAGTGGGGTGTGGGGGGTATTTTCAATCCATAGCCATAACTAACTAACTATTTACATCCTGTTTAACCTGAGTAGCAAAAGACCGCAGGGGGGTTGAAAACGATACGCCAGGAGTTAGCTGTGCTCGCCGGCTCTATTGAGCCTTGACCTCCCGGTCAGCTATTACGCGGGTGGATAACAGAGTTCTCCAAAAACTTCGAAGCACTTTTGCAAATATGGGATATTTTGAAAAATTAATATCTTAAAATATCTTAAAAGTTTATTTTGTGACCCAGAAAGGATAATCTGGGGAAAAGGAGGACCACATTTGTAGGCTGCAGTTGTCGGAGCCTGCATATGCGTACTTGTGTGTACTTGTGGTCTATGGCGTTATTTTTGTGCCACTATTCTGAGCGCACGTAAAAAAAAAATTGAGCCACGTAAAAAAGTTTGCAGGTGCAAGTGTTGTATTTTGAGGAGAAATTTATTTTGAGCGAAGAAAAGCTTTCCTACGTGCAAAAAATGTATTTCAGTGTTTGCTATTATCCACACACACACACA